CCCTTCCTCCTCCTCCTCCTCCCCCCCTCGCCCTCCCCTCCTCCTCCTCCACCTCCTCCTCCTCCTCCTCCTCCTCCTCCTCCTCCTCCTCCTCCTCCTTCCTCCACCTCATCCCATCCTCATCCTCCTCCTCCGCCTCCTCCTCACCCTTCCTATCCTCATCCTCCTCCCCATCCTCATCATCCGCTACATCTTCCCCCTCAGCATCCTCATCGTCAGCATCAGCATCAGCATCATCAGCATCATCAGCATCATCATCATCGTCATCATCATCAGCATCATCATCATCATCATCATCATCATCATCATCATCATCATCATCATCATCAGCATCATCATCATCATCATCATCATAATCATCATCAGCATCGTCAGCAGCAGCATCATCATCATCATCATCATCATCATCATCATCATCAGCAGCAGCAGCATCATCATCATCATCATCATCATCATCATCAGCATCAGCAGCAGCAGCAGCAGCATCAGCATCATCATCATCATCGTCATCATCATCATCATCATCATCATCATCAACATCCTCATCATCATCAGCATTATCATCATCATTATCATCATCAACATCATCAGCATCATCATCATCAGCAACATCATCATCAGCATCATCAACAACAATATCATCGTCATCAGCATCGTCATCATCATCATCGTCAGCCGCATCATCATCATCATCATCAGCATCATCATCAACATCATCAGCATCACCATCATCATCATCATCGGCATCATCATCAGCATCATCATCAGTATCAGCATCATCAGCATCATCAGCATCATCATGTTCATCAGCAGCAGCAACAGCAGCATCAGCATCCGCAGCATCATCATCATCATCAGCAGCAGCATCAGCAGCAGTGACATGAGCAGCAACATCATCATCATCATCATCATCATCATCATCATCATCATCATCATCAGCATCAGCATTCGCATCATCATCATCATCAGCCGCATCGTCATCATCAGCATCATCATCCTCAGCAGCAGCATCAGCATCAGCATCAGCATCATCAGCATCATCAGCATCATCAGCATCCTCAGCAGCATCATCAGCAGCAGCATCATCTTCATCAGCATCAGCATCATCATCATCAGCAGCAACATCAGCATCACCATGATCATCAGCATCAGCATCAGCACAATCATCAACATCAGCATAATCATCATCACCATCACCATCACCATCAGCATCATCATCAGCGCCAGCATTATCATCATCAGCATCAGCATCAGCATCGGCATCATCATCATCATCGTCCTCATCATCGTCATCAGCATCATCAGCAGCATCATCATCATCGTCAGCAGCGTCAACAGTATCATCATCGGCATCAGCATCATCATCAGCATCAGCATCAGCATCAGCATCATCATCAGCAGTATCATCATCAGCAGCAGCAACAGCATCCGTATCATCACCAACATCATCATTATCAGCATCATCAGCATCATCATCATCATCATCAACATCAGCATCAGCATCGTCAGCATCATCATCATCATCATCATCAGCATCAGCAGCAGCAGCAGCAGCAGCCTCCTCCTCCTCCTCCTCCTCCTCCTCCTCCTTATCCTGCTCCTCCGCCCCATCATCCTCCTCCTCCTCATCATCCTCAGCAGCAGCATCAGCATCAGCATCAGCATCATCATCCGCCCCCCCCCCTCCTCCTTCTCCTCATCCTCCGCCTCCTCCTCCCCCTCCCCCTCATCCTCGTCATCCTCATCCTCCTCTTCATCCTCCTCCTCCTCCTCCTCCGCCTCCTCCTCCGCCACCTCCTCCTCCGCCTCCTCCTCCTCCTCCTTCTCCTCCTCCGCCTCTGCCTCC